GCAGAAGGAAGTGATGTGGTCACTGACAACCTCTTGGTCAATGCTCAACATGAACATCTGAGCAGAAAAGCAGGAGGATCCTGGAAAGAGTAGAAGTGCAAACAAAACAAAAATCAAGTGGAATTTCAATGACAAGGGCCTCAGTGTAAAAACCTCAGGAAACCCCTAAATACAGTGGTTCCTATGGTATCTAACAGGAAAAACACCACAACAGCCAGTTCTTTGTAATACTAATAATACAGGTCTTTAAACATGCAACTGAAATGATTTCTATTATTGGTAGAGCCAGAACAGGTTGAAGTAATAGACCATAGGTTACAACACAACCTGGAATAAAATAACAGAAGAATCTCTTTTCAATACAATTGATTTAGCTTTAACTGGATGGTTTGGTTCCAGGTACTTACCACACTCTATAAAGCAAGGTGTTGCTGGCAGCTTCTCCATCTGAACCTCTCGGGCCAGGCAAGTCTCCTCAACCGTATGGAATAGACTGTCCTCTTGCTCTCCAAAGTGAGCCAACAAGAGAAGTACCATCTGTATAATGTCTTGAGAACCTCCATCAAGCTCGCCCCTTTCAGTCTGAAACTTGATAAGAGTTTCCAGGACGTTTTTTTTGCGTTTTTGTGCATCAGCATTTTTGAGGAAGTGTAAAAGGCGGCTGCCCTTTTTGTCCACATCAGTGAGGAAGGACTCCATCAGACTGACATGAGCAAGTTCTTGAAAGTGAGTTGCCATACCGGCCTCCGTGAACAAAAAAGGCCACTCTTGCCTGAGTGTCTTGATGCTTGCACCCTTGTTGATGTCTTTGCGCTGCATGCAATAGGTGGCCTGCATTAGGTTTTTCATGTCTGCTGTGTTGTAGTTCATCTCTTTGAACATCTTTTTCATCTCTTCTTTTTTTTTTGCTGACTCTCTGCTGCCTCGGAAAGTGGCAAAAATGTCAGCTCCCAGTTGATACAGCCATATGTGTCTTGAACACATGCCTTTAGTTCTGCTGGAATTTCTTCTGTGTCATTATCATCTGACACTGTCTCACGTTTTGTTATTTTTGGAGTGTTTTATGTTTTCAGTTCATACTTGGAGCTGTTTGACCAGTACATGGTACCCAGATCCAATCATTTCTCCCTCAATGACATCCTGGAGTGATTCTGGATACTCGGCCAACATTCTTTTGCCTTTTCTCTGTGGTGCTACGTTTGGTTGGATTTTTTCAAACCTTCATGATTTCAGAAACTTCAATCCTTATCATCTCTCGCCGTAGTTGCGGACGAGGTCTTTTCTGCCTTTCCAATCTTCAATTGACCTGAACGTTTTGATGCTTTTGGACTAACCTCACACGGCTTGGAAGAAGCTTCTGTGCTTTGGTATTTGAACTGCTTGATTCGCCTGTTCAAAACCGAGTATGTGAACCATCTTTACTTTTTAGTGAAGTAACCCAGATAAAGTGCCACGTCATAAGAGAGAACACCTTCAAAGATATCGTGGCCAAGGCAAGGAGGCAAACCAGGCTGGCAAACATCAAAGTGTTATAGGGAATTAAACACTGACCCAAACTTAACTCCTTGTACATCTGGCCTGTCCTCTGTTTGCAGCTGGTCCACCATGGATCTGTAGTTTTCAGGAGTGCACTTTGGACCAAATGAAGTTGGCTCCTCACCCTGAAACAGTATCTGCAGAAATATTCTGAAACACTGAAATTGTCAGTGAAGCCTCCAATGCAGTGTGAACCTAAGTTGTCTCCAGCAATGGAGAAAAGCGTCCCTTTGATGCCCTCATCTGCTACTTGCATGGCCAAACTCTTTAAAGTCCTTCTCTTGACAAAGCAAAACCAGCTGCATGTGTTCAACATTTGATCGAACATGAAGAGGCAAATTTAGTAGAGAGAAGTACACAGATAACATTTTGTGCTTCTTTGTGCAGAACCCAAAGGGGTGACCACCTCAAATGCATCCTGGTATAAAACCAGTTTAATACCATTTGGGTGTTCCTGAAAAAAGGTGTTTAATTTAAACACCTTACCATCATGGCTGTCTCAGAGAATCAGTAGAATCTGTTAACATTAACCCCTACCAAAACTTTAACTTAGATTAGATTAGATATACCTTTATTGGTTCCTTTGGTAGGGTACCTCAGGGAAATTGTTGTACGAGCAACAACAACACAACACCGACAGAGACAGTATCACACATCAATCAAGAAAAAAGAGCAGTAAACAAGGAAACAAAGGAAACAAACTGTTAGAACAGCAGCATGGTGTAATACTGGTAGTAATAATAATAATAATAATAATAATAATGATGATAATGATAGATATAAATATGGTTGAGTATATAAATATAAGGTGTATCATATATATATATATATATATATGTGTGTATAAATAAATAAATAAATATAGATGCGTATATATGCATTGCACAATAACAGTAGCAACTCCAGCATGCTCTTCAGAGTGCAAAACAAAGGGACACAATATGCAAATCTCTCTACTCAGTTTCCATCCCTACCTAAAAACATCCTTTTAGGTTCAACATTTTTAAACATCCCTTTAAAGCACTTGGCTCTTGAGAATGCTGTTCTCATGGGTCCTGTGTGACAAGCTGAAAACAAGTCAGATTCCTTCATTGTATTACATATTTTAATAATGTTTTCATCTGAAACTGACAAATCTTTAAGAAGCAACTTTAATCCGTTCAAAGCATGTGTCTGCCCCAACTCATGGATGTTGTGAATCTCTTCAACAATGTTCTGAATAGTGGACACTGGAATAAGATGATCTCCTTGTCGTTTAATGTAAAACATACAGACATTTCTAAGCTACAAGTCACTGACATTAGACATGCGCTCATCTGTATCCTCAACATCTGACATTCTAGCAGTCTCCTCCTGTACTGCAGTGACACTAGACCCTCTTGCAGAAGGACCTTCTGAGCTGAATGAGCTCGTCACATTCACGGAGTAATGTTTGTGATATCTGGACATGTGGGATGTAAGGGAAGATTTCACCCTTTACATCAGGGGTGTCCAATCCTGGTCCTCGAGGGCCACAATCCTGCATGTTTTAGATGTTTCCCTCTTCCAACACACCTGATTCAAATGATTAGCTCATCATCAAGCTCTGCAGAAGCCTGATAATGATCCTGATCATTTGAATCAGGTGTGTTGAAAGAGGGAAACACCTAAAACATGCAGGATTGCGGCCCTCGAGGACCAGGATTCGACACCAGTGCTTTACATCTTTTTGCATCCTCTTACGGGGCAGTTCACTGGACAGCCCTCTACTATGTGCTCTTTCAAGTGAGTAATCAGCTCTCTGAAACTATCACACCTGCTTACAGTTAGCAACGACACACTTAGAAAAAAAAAAAAAACAACACCGCGGTTCGTTGCGGTGCAGTTTGCAGTGTCCAACATAAGCCTGACAGAGACGGAACATTCTCTCCACAGATACAACACGAAAACATCCTGAAGTCAGTCAAATAATTATTACAGCAACAGCAATACTTCACAAGCACACAAGCGCGAATGTAAACCTACAGTTACCGNTAAATATATATGTGTGTATATATACATTGCACAATAACAGTAGCAGCTCCAGCATGCTCTTCAGAGTGCACAACAAAGGAACACAATATGCAAATCTCTCTACTCAGTTTTCATCCCTACCTAAAAACATCGTTTTAGATTCAACATTTTTAAACATCCCTTTAAAGCACTTGGCTCTTGAGAATGCTGTTCTCATGGGCTCTGTGTGACAAGCCCAAAACAAGTCAGATTCCTTCATTGTATTACACATTTTAATAATGTTTTCATCTGAAACTGACAAATCTTTAAGAAGCAACTTTAATCTATTCAAAGTATGTGTCTGCCCCAACTCATGGATGTTCTGAATCTCTTCAACAATGTTCTGAATAGTGGACACTGGAATAAAATGATCTCCTTGTAGTTTAATGTAAAACAAACAGACATTTCTAAGATACAAGTCACTGAAATTAGACATGTCCTCACCTGTATCCACAACATCTGACACTCCAGGAGTCTCCTCCTGTAATGCAGCGACACTAGACCCACTTGTAGAAGGACCTTCTGAGCTGAATGAGCTCGTCACATTCACGGAGCAATGTTTGTGATATCTGGACATGTGGGATGTAAGGGAAGATTTCACCCTTTACATCAGGGGTGCCCAATCCTGTTCCTCGAGGGCCGCAATCCTGCATGTTTTAGATGTTTCTCTCTTCCAAAACACCTGATTCAAATGATCAGCTCATCATCAAGCTCTGCAGAAGCCTGATAACGATCCTGATCATTTGAATCAGGTGTGTTGGAAGAGAGAAACATCTAAAACATGCAGGATTGCGGCCCTTGAGGACCAGGATTCGACACCCGTGCTTTACATCTTTTTGCATCCTCTTACGGGGCAGTTCACTGGACAGCCCTCTACTCTGTGCTCTTTCAAGTGAGTAATCAGCTCTCTGAAACTATCACACCTGCTTACAGTCAACACCTACACACTTAGAAAAAAAAAAACCACAACACCGCGGTTCGTTGCGGTGCAGTTTGCAATGTCCAACATAAGCCTGACAGAGACGGAACATTCTCTCCACAGATACAACACGAAAACATCCTGAAGTCAGTCAAATAATTATTACAGCAACAGCNCTGGCTCTTGACTCCTGCCTAAAGAACCAAGGGTTTGCTAGCTATGTTTCAATCCATTCATGGTCTACAAGGTCTGCTATCAGAGTTGGGACTCTGGGTACTTTGTCTTTTTCCCATTCGACTTTGGTCCCTCACTCAGGATTTATGGAGAAGAAACACCTTTGTGAAAAAAAATACAAACGTAAATACTTAACAATTCAGGGATAAAAAAAAAAAAAAATCAAAGAATCCATGACGTTATACATTATTACTGTGACGACCCGAGCACAGGAGCTGTGCGGGCAGACCCAAACGAAAGAGGGAGGCAGGGAGAAATAGGTTAAAGGAATAAGTTTTATTCACAAAGGTGGGGATTGTGGAGAAAACCAGGTGAAGGAGTCCAGTGGAGAGGTCCCAGTCGTGGTGGGGGTGCGAGGAGGCGGTCGTCGGTGCCGAGGTGCCAGGGGAGGATTCCGTGAGGAAGGTTCCGTGGAGGGAGTCCTGAGGTGGTGGTTGGAGATCCGGTGCTCAGGGGATGGTGCTCGTGAGAGGTCACCCGTGGAGGTGCGTGAGCCGTGAGCTGTCTCGTGAGACTGCTCGTGGCTGTGGGTTTCCGTGGTCGGAGCTCGAGAGAGGAAAAAGCAGGCGTGCCGGATAACGCTGGAGCTGGAGCCTTGGAGAGACGCTGGAGGCACACAGAGACAACAAACACATTACACTGGAGAAAACTCGAGAAGAGAATAAGCTTAGCTCGAAATGCTCAACACTGTGTAGCAGCTAAGCAGCCTGACTGTGCCACTGTGGATGTATCACAATCATCTGGCGCTGGAGTCCTGATGAGCTGATGATCCACAGCTGCCAGCACCAGAGCGTTCTCCTCGGATCGGCTCCACCCAGACTGCAAGAAAGAGAGAACACACGCCCACCACAGCACCCAAAACAGACAGAGCCCGAAAAACCACATATAATATCACAGTCCTCACAATTACAGGTAAAAGAAAATGCACCTTTGAAAGAACTCGAGTGTGGACCGTAGTTCCACTGGGTAGTGTATGTTGGAGCAGTAGCAGCTCCCAAACATGAGGCAGAAGGAAGTGATGTGGTTACTGACAACCTCTTGGTCAATGCTCAACATGAATGTCCGAGCAGAAAAGCAGGAGGATCCCGGAAAGAGTAAAAGTGCAAACAAAACAAAAATCAAGTGGAATTTCAATGACAAGGGCCTCAGTGTAAAAACCTCAGGAAACCCCTAAACACAGTGGTTCTTCTGGTATCTAACAGGAAAAACACCACAACAACCAGTTCTTTGTAATACTAATAATACAGATCCTCAAACATGCAACTGAAATGATTTATATTATTGGTAGAGCCAGAACAGGTTGAAGTAATAGACCATAGGTTACAACATAAGCTGGAATAAAATAACAGTAGAATCTCTTTTCAGTACAATTGATTTAGCTTTAACTGGATGGTTTGGTTCCAGGTACTTACCACACTCTATAAAGCAAGGTGTTGCTGGCAGCTTCTCCATCTGAACCTCTCGGGCCAGGCAAGTCTCCTCAACCGTATGGAATAGACTGTCCTCTTGCTCTCCAAAGTGAGCCAACAAGAGAAGTACCATCTGTGTAATGTCTTGAGAACCTCCATCAAGCTCGCCCCTTTCAGTCTGAAACTTGATAAGAGTATCCAGGACTTTTTTGCATTTTTGTGCATCAGCATTTTTGAGGAAGTGTAAAAGGCCCTTTTTGTCCACATTAGTGAGGAAGGACTCCATCAGACCGACATTAGTAAGTTCTTGAGTGTGAGTTGCCATACCAGCCTCTGTGAACAAAAAAGGCCACTCTTGACTGAGTGTCTTGCACCCTTGTTGATGTCTTTGCGCTGCATGTAATAGGTGGTCTGCATTAGGTTTTTCATGTCTCCTGTGTTGTAGTTCATCTCTTTAAACATCTTTTTCATCTCTTCTTTTTTTTGCTGACTCTCTGCTGCCTCAGAAAGTGGCAAAAATGTCGGCTCCCAGTTGATACAGCCATATGTGTCTTGAACACATGCCTTTTGTTCTGCTGGAATTTCTTGGGTGTCATTGTCATCTGACACTGTCTCACGTTTTGTTATCTTTGGAGTGTTTTATGTTTTCAGTTCATACTTGGAGCTGTTTGACCAGTGAATGGCACCCAGATCCAATCATTTCTCCCTCAATGACATCCTGGAGTGATTTTGGATACTTGGCCACCATTCTTTTGCCTATCTCTGTGGTGCTACATTTGGTTGGATTTTTGCAAACCTTCATGATTTCAGAAACTTCAATCTTTATCATCTCTTGCCGTAGTCGTGGACGAGGTCTTTTCTGCCTTTCCAATCTTCAATTGACCTGAAAGTTTGGATGCTTTTGGACGAACCTCACACAGCTTGGAAGAAGCTTCTGTGTTTTGGTATTTGAACTGCTTGTTCAAAACCAAGTATGTGAACCATCTTTTCTTTTTAGTGCAGTAACCCAGATAAAGTGCCACGTCATAAGAGAGAACACCTTCAAAGATATCGTGGCCAAGACAAGGGGACAAACCAGGCTGGCAAACATTAAAGTGTTTTAGAGAATTAAACACTGACCCAAACTTAACTCCTTGTACATCTGGCCTGTCCTCTGTTTGCAGCTGGTCCACTGTGGATCTGTAGTTTTCAGGAGTGCACTCTGGACCAAATGAAGTTGGCTCCTCACTCTGAAACTGAGTTGGAGATATGAGACAGTATCTGCAGAAATATTCTGAAACACTGAAATTTTTTGTGAACCCTCCAGTGCAGTGTGAACCTAAGTTGTCTCCAGCAATGGAGAAAAGCGTCCCTTTGATGCCCTCATCTGCTACTTGCATGGCCAAACTCTT